AATAATTTTATCTTTGTAGTTTTAAATATTTATTTAGAAAAAAATACCTATATAAATTATTAATTAATTAAAATGTTAACAATACAATTATAAAAACTAAAAATAATTTTATAGCTATTTGAATTAATTTAAAAATAGTTAGTTGGCAAAAATTTATTATAAAACATAAATTTAGAAAATTAAAATTAGAAAACAATAATTTATAAGACATGAATTTTTGAAAACAAAATTAATGTAGTTAATTTGACTTTGACCTAAAATGTAGAAGGGTGCACTGTACCTATAAGGAGAGGTGTATATATCCTCACCCATGGTTTATTAGCATAAATAAATCACAAATTTTATATTATTAAGGGCCCGTTTATCAAACACTTACCCGGTAAGCGGTAAAAGGTAAAGTTTAACATTATCATTTATTTACCGGGTAAGATTTTAGTCCATCAAAACGGTATCGTATGCAACAATTTACCCAGTAAGCTCTTACCATGGTAAAAGTCGTCGCCCTCACTTACCGGGTAAGACTCTTGGTCTTTGTCTCGCTCTTACCGAGTAAGATTATTGATCATTATCATCTTCATCTGGTTAGATAATAAGACTTGGTGTCCACTTACCCAAATAAGCGTTTGATAAACTACCCATAAGATGATCGTACATTTACAGCATCATCTTTGATAGATTGTTCAAAGATTTTTTAAATGAATTTAATTTTTTTTTTAAAGTCTTAATTTCAATAAATTCTTATTTTAAATATTACAACATTGATTATATTAATAAAATATTTATACATGAGTTTATTTTATTTTATATTTTAATTTCAAAGTTTATTATTGATGGAAATATAATAAAAGATGTTTTTTCATGATGATTATTTTTGTGGAGCCTCCAAATTTGTATTTATGAGTATTATGATTGTTGTTTATTCTTGCATGGTTTCGTTATCATTTTTATTTATTTTTATATTACATATCGTACATTCTGAATTTAGATGTCATTTACCATAAATGGTGGATCTATAAACTTTTATAGTAGGGGTACACTTAGGAGTCTCGAAAAAAATTCAAAACCGAATAATTCATCCAAATCAAAATGGTTTTAGGTTTTTGTTTTTCGGTTAACCAATTAAACATAACTTATTCGATTTGTTTTTCAGTTATTTTTTTACTATTTTAAAAAACACAAAAATGGTGGTTTATCAAACTAATAGCATTATAACAAAGAAAATAAGAAAAATCAAATGATTTTAAATTGGTTGCGGTCTTCAAAATTGGGGACATTCGAGTTTAATCGATGGGGGTACTATAGAAATTTTAGCTTAATTATTTTACACCACTCGACTTAGGGGTGTTTGAGATTGTTTATTTGAAACAACTTATATTTTTTTAATAAAAGTCTTTATCAACTTATTATAAATTAGAATAGTTTAACTTTTTCAAAAACTTTTTGTTACCAGTTTGGCACTGATATAAGTTGTTTATCCAAATACTTAAAAGTATTTATTACCGATGTTACACCGGAATAAATCAAAAAATTGTTTTTATAAGTAATCTCAAACACCCATTGCCTATACCCCTTTAACCGCAGTCTGCCCCTTTTACCCTTAAAGATAACTGTACCGTCTAAAAGAGTTCAAGCTTTATTAAACAAATTATTAATTTCAAAATTACAAATAATTTTTTATTGGTTCTTATTAATTTCAAAATTATGAATAAGCTTTTATTGATACTTGAATCCAAATATGATAATAAATAAAAGATGAATAAAGTGATAACTATATTTGAAGGGAAAAAAATGGTATTTAGAAAGGGAAAATTTTCACAACAAGGTCTTGTTTGTTTTTTATAAAAAAAATTCTTATTAGTTTTTTATATCTGATTTGTTAAGAGGTAAGGTCATTCAGACCGTTGTTTTTTCCAATTCTTAAGAAGCACTTATATCTTATTGTCCTCTTATCTGGTAAGACGTAAACCAACCTTTTGTTTGCCTCTTATTGTTCTTCAAACCCTCAACAACGACGTTTCTCAATTGAT